TTATCCTATAGTAAGAAGTAAGAAACCCCCCAAATAGTATAGGTAATCGTTTAGGCCACTATACTAGCATGAAGTGTCCAAACAAGTTGGCCGCGTTGCTATTACTGTTGCTGGCGCCGCTAGCGGCATCACTCTGATAACGGCCACCACGTCAATGACGGTGTAGGTCGCGACACGGGTGGACTCATGATCAAGAGCACAGCCACCATCATCAAACCACCATCATCCCACCAGTCTGTATCACGATGAACACTTGTACTAGCTCGTGGTCTCTGTGACTCAGCCGACCTTGGCAATGCTGGGCGACTGTTGCCACTTGGCAGCAGCTGCGCAAGACATCCCCTAAACCCTAAACCCTAAACCCTAAACCCTAAACCCTAAACAAGACATCATCGAATTGTGAAAACGGTGCCCTGGAACCCGAAATCCCAAAAAACCACAGCTCCCAGCCCGAAAACGTGTAAAACTCGACACCTGAAAACCCTGGAGCCCGCAAACTTCTAAACCCTAAACCCTAAACCTCTGAAGCCCTAAACCCTAAACCCTAATCCCTAAACCCTAAACCCTGAATCCCTGAATCCCTGCATCCTGAATCCCTGAATCCCTGCATCCTGAATCCCTGAATCCTGAACCCTTGCTTTCCAACGCCTGCTCGCAAACCCTGACGCACCTTTCCAAAGTTGCCGACTTGAAGATCGAAGACTTTAGGGTTTGGGGTTCAGGGTTGTTTTTAAGGTTTAGGGTTCAGGGTTTGAGAACAGAAAACGTCTGGGTATGTTGTGCGTACATTAGAAGTGCAGATGCAAGAATGATCGTAGCAATCTCGGCAACCCTTTTAAATCACGCTGCCCAGGCCCTTCCCTACTAGCCAAGTCAAAGACAAAACCTCCAAAACGACAATGGGGTAGTCCTCCAAATTAGGGTCCCCTTTTGGGGTCCTTTTTATAAGGGTGCGCACTATGTGTATTTCGGAACCCTAAACCCTAAACCCTAAACCCAAACCCTGAACCCTAAACCCTAAACCCTAAACCCTAAACCCTAAACCCTAAATCCTAAACCCTAAAGAAGGTACCCTACTTTAGAGAACTACCCAATGGAACGAGGCGACTGCGGGGACCTTGTGGAGCCCTTCTGGGGTTAGGGTTTAGGGTTTAGGGTTTAGGGTTTAGGGTTTAGGGTTTAGGGTTTAGGGGAACCCCTTTACAAAACCTTATGAAAGCTGTTGTGGAACCATACATAACCCTGGCAACTAGTAGCAGTTGTGAAAATCTCTGTAGTTGTGAGAAAAGCCGAACCCCCAACCCCAAAAGCCCAAGAAGCATAGCCACGATAACAACCATAGTACTAGTACTCGCACTAGTAGTAAAAATACTAGTCGTACGGGCAGAGCACTACTAGTACGACTAGTACGACTAGTAGGAGTAGTAGCAGTAGTAGTGGTAGTGGTAGTGGTAGTGGTAGTGGTAGTAGTAGTAGTAGTAGTAGTAGCAGCAGCAGCAGCAGTAGTAGTAGTCGTAGCAGCAGGAGTAGTAGCAGCAGTAGTATCAGTAG